AGGTGGGTAAGATATTGTAAGATACCTGTCAGAAAAATTATAAAGATAGATAATACATTAAAAAATTTTTTTATTGTAAGATATAATTTGTCAGATGGTGAAGAGTGAAGCAGGGAAGGAGAGAGGTATATTGCAATTTTAAATAGATGGCCAGAGAAGCGCCTCAGAGAAGGCAACATTTAGACCTGAAAGAGGGATAGGAGTGGCTATCTGGGAGAAGAATACTCCAGGCAGGGGAACAAGTACAAAGATCCTGGGGCAGAATGTATATGTTTTTGAGAAATGGCAAAGAGTTCAGTATGTGTATCCAGAATGATTAGCTGGAGAGGAGCTTAGAGTGGTAGTGGCAGGGGGACAAGATGTTATAGGGCTGGATAAGCCATTGGAAAGACTTCATGTTGTTTATTATGCTCCTTGGTATATTCTCTGGAATACTTTGCATAGGAATATGTAATTTTGAATTTTAATAACTGTAGACCATCCAGGAATGAGGTACTTTAACCAAATTTTAAGAATTTTATATTTTACTCTGAAAAAGTGGTAATAGCTCAAGAATAGACCGATGATGAGAGTTGACTACTTATGTCAGTTCTTTTGCTTTCAGGTTTGTAATTATAACTTTTTTTTTTTAAACCATAGGTAAATTAACATGATGGATTTCTCCAAGCTACCCAAAATACTTGATGAAGATAAAGAAAGCACGTTTGGTTATGTGCATGGGGTCTCAGGACCTGGTAAGTAATATGTAATAATCTCAATAGTAAAGATTCCTAACTTCAATTAATGTCTTTTCAAGGTTTTTTGGGTAAAATACACAGGTTTCTGTTTACCTGAATAAGTTCTATTTGTCCCTAAAAGATTTCATAGTTGCTATAAGAATGTGGTAGTACCTTCATCATAAGAGCTTCTCTGGCATTCATTATCTTAATTTGATAATTATTGGGCACTAATTTGTGACATCCTATTTATTATGTAAATGTATAATTGGTGTTCAGAGTTTTAGATAGGTCTTGATTTTTTTTGTTAAATCTGAGGTAAAAAGGCTATATAAAGTTTTTAGTTTTTAGTATGTAATACCTTACAGATAATGGGCATTCAGTAAATATATGTTTATGTCATTTGAACTGAAATAATTTTTTTCAGAACGTTTCTCAACAATATCATCCTTGGCTCTTTGTATATTTAAATTTCTCTGAACGTTAATTTCAGATATTGCATAACTAGCTATCTGTGGGAAAGAAGTTTTATGACGTGAGAGCAATGGAAAGCAGTTTAAAAACTTTGTTTATTCTGCCAAAACTTGGGGTATTGCATTTTAAATGATAAATCTCATTCTAGTATTCATTTTATTCCAACTGCAAAATATGATTCACAGTTTTCCATAGGTAAACCTGCTCATTGATTTATAATCCTTCGTGCCATGAATATTTTTCCTTATCTTTTTATAAACCTCATGCAATAGGCTTTTTTGTTTTAATCACAGTAGAGGTGATCACCTTTTTTCGGTGTTTATGCAAATGAAGTCAGTCAATCACAGTGTTTATTTCTCCCTATGAAGCTTCTATAGCTTAGAACTTGGTGTTTGAACATGAACTCATTGGCAAAAATACATTTCACTGTTTTCAACCTCTTGCCATTCTGAGAAACAATTTTCCCCTTGATGATCAGAGGGGTCTTTAGGAAAGTCGGGCAACACTCAAGAATTTTTAGGGAAAAGACAAAAAAGAACACCATCAAAAGAGTTTAGGTAAAAATATTTTTCTGAAACTTGTAGTTAACTGCTCCTGGAACCTATTTATTATTCTTAAGTACTTAATAAAATGATAGAGAAATGGCATACTTTGGGGCTTATGAAATATGATTTAAAATTTTAGGGGCACCTGAGTGGCTTAGTCACTTGAGTGTCGAACTCTTGATTTCGGCTCGGGTCATGATCTCAGGGTTGTGAGATTGAGCCCGGAGTCAGGCTCCATGCCGGGTGGGGAGCCTGCTTCAGATTCTCTCTCTTCTGGGTGCCTGGGTGGCTCAGTTGTTAAGCATCTGCTTTCGGCTCAGGTCATGATCCCAGGGTCCTGGGATTGAGCCCCACATCAGGCTCCCTGCTCTTTGGGAAGCCTGCTTCTTCCTCTCCCACTTACCCCTGCTTGTGTTCCCTCTCTTGCTGTGTCTCTCTCTGTCAAATAAATAAATGCATAAAAGCAGGTATCATGCTTTTTTTTAAATGATGGAAAGCAACAAGAATAGGAGTATATCGTAATAGGAAGGAGTTATTAAATAGCATATAAAACTTAATGTAGCATGAAATCATATGTTATTTTGGATATTATGAAGATTTGGGATAAGATTAACTTTCAGTGTAATGTAACTTGCAATATAATTTGCTTATTTCAAGTTAAAATGTTTCGGGATGTTGTCTTATACATCTTTTTTCTTTTTTTTTAAAGATTTCATTTACTTATTTGACAGAGAGAGACACAGTGAAAGAGAGAACACAAGCAGGGGGAGTGGGAGAGGGAGAAGCAGGCTTCCCGCAGAGCAGGGAGCCCGATGCAGGGCTCCATCCCAGAACTCTGGGATCATGACCTGAGCTGAAGGCAGACGCTTTAACGACTGAGCCACCCAAGTGCCCTGTCTTATACATCTTTAAAAGCCTATGCTTTTTCACATAGAGGCATAAGCATTAAATAATGAAACAGAAGAGTTTAGTGTGGAGTATTTTATTTCCACTATTTTCATAGATAACAATGAAGGGTGACTAATGGATACAAAGTAGTAGTATGTTGTACGACCGTGCTTATCAAACTGCCAAATGCTTAGCCCTATTCGGTGATTAAGTCAATATAAGTCTAATAATTTTTATTTTATTTGTGGAAAGGAAGCAATTTCATATTTATCTTTTAAAACAGATATTGTATATTAATAGAGTGCAAAACTTGCTTGGATTAAGAGAATGTACAAGAGCATACAAAGACATTTTTCTGGGGGTGCCTGGGTGTCTCAGTTGGTTAAGTATCCAACTCTTGATTCGGCTTCAGTCATGATCTCAGGGTCTTGAGATGGAGCTCTGCTTCAGGCTCAGTGCTGAACATGGAGCCTGCTTAAGATTCTCTCTCTCCCTCTCTCTGCATGCCTCCCCCGCCCCCTGCTCACTCAGAGAGAGAGAGAAAGCGCATGCATTCTCTCTCTCTAAAAAAAAGAACTTTCCCTGCTTACAGTAGAAAGCTATAATATCCTGTTCTCTGTCAAGATTGGGAGGAGATAGAGGGGTATTTATTCACTGTTTACTTGTTTTTCTCCTACTGGGGTGCTTTGGTGAAAAAGCTTTAGAAGTACAATGGGAACCCTTATCTCAGTGCTGTGGGAATTGAAAATTTAATGTTCAAAAAGCTTATTACTTTGGAGCAGTCCATGGAAGTTTCTCAAAGTGTTTAAGTGTTAAGAAGCTGGAGCCAAAAACTTTCGGACCTGGAAAACATATTTTCCAACTCTATCAGAAAAAATACTTTAGAAGTTAAATAAACTCTTAATTGGGACTTCTGTTCCTATAACTACTGATGATGGGTTCTAAGTTTTATGTTAAAGGACAAAAAGCAAATTCTGGAAGAAACTAAGGCTTTGGTTGTATGGGGACCTGGCGTCTATGTCAGTTCCTTGACTTAGCCCAAGCATTGTCCTAAGTGCCCTACTTTCTAAAGCCACTTTTGTATTTCTTTCCTCCTTTGCAGAATAACTAGTTACAAGATAACTAAGAAAACAGGCCAAAGATCGTTGTGGTTCAAGTGAGAGTCTAAGTTTTAGTTATCCAGGGAGTAATTCTTCATTATTTGAGCATTTTGGGTTCTCTGGAATCAGATGCCAAAAAAGAGTCTATTGTATAAGATGTTGGTTAGGGATCAACACATGTGAAAGGAAGGGGGCAGATGCCTAATTGGGCAGAGAAGTTGAAATCCAATTCAAGCCTGGAAAAGCCTTAGCTGACCCTGTGGGGAGATCTGGAGTGAGTATTACTTGTGAGAGTATCCCACATCTGGTTGACATGGCTGTGTCTTTATACCTCCGCTTTGCTTGGTCACCAGGTGCAGGTGGCCGGCGAAGGATGTGAATGTTGGCCAGGCAGCTCTCTGCATCTGAGGCCAGTCCTGAAGGAGTAACAGCTGCTGGCTGTCCGCTGACAATACTCCCTGTCCTTTCTTGAAGGAGAATCTGGATGCTGCATCTCCCTGTCTAATTTGATAACACTGTTGCCTGGAGGCAGAGACTGTTGTCCTTCCTACCATATAGGATTGTTTAGATGCAAACGAGAGAAATCAGCCTAGATAATTGAGGCAGAGAGTGCAGGGCTTAGGGAGCAAGGGCATTGGAGTCAGACTGCTGAGGTTCAAATCCCACCTGTAAAGCTTGCCAATTTTGGGATCTTGGGCAAAGTTACTTAAATCTCCATTGCTTGGGTTTCCCATTTGTAAAATGGAAGTGGTATTAGTGGGTATGAAGTTATTAAGTAACTATTCACTGAGTGCTTATTTTCTTTGCCCAGGCACTG